CCCAACCATCCACTGAGACCCTGTCTGGAGCTTACAGCTCTTGTCCCAGGGGCGGACAAAACTCTAGAAAGTCAGACTGATAGATGACAAGGCATGGCTGACCTCAGCAAATCCAGAGGCACTGTTTCCAACCTCCCCTGCACTCTGCCCCGCAAGTATCCAACGCCATGTGGAAAGCTCAAAACTTAGATCTCATGGTCTCTGGGATTGCAGAATTGGGACATGCAAAGGGAGAAAAAGTTCATAAATCAAAGCCGATGGACTCTATGAGCGAGGAGGACCAACTGGTCCATTAAACACTTTCATCTCTCTCTCTCTCTCTCTCACTTCGTTGTTTTGAACATGGGGCGGGGGTAACAGCAGCACCTTTTCAGAGTTTTGCAGTGGTCCCTGCTGGTCCACACCACGGGACACATAAAACCGAGACCCCCATGTGCAGTGCATGGAGCATTAATCTAGGTTTCCAGAACACCCAGATGGAGGCCCCCGCTCTGGTGTTCTTTTAAGTACTTGGCAAATAAATCCCGCATCGCCTCAACTATCAGCAGGGTGGGAGGTGAGGGTGGACGCGACCTTCAGGAACTTGGAGCTCTCAAACACCACGATCCTATCCTGCAAATGGACCAGTCCTGGGACAGCCGTGACGACTGCATTAACCAAAGATATAAACCCAGCAGGACACGTGAACGGCAGACACTGGCCCCTTCTGTGGGTCCCAACATGGCATTCAGTTTATTTAATAAAACTTCTGATGGAGTCTAATGAAAGCTATTAAAAATGCCTTCTAGGGGCGCCTGGGTGGCTCAGTCAGTTAAACGTCTGCCTTCGGCTCAGGTCATGATCACAGGGTCCTGGGATCGAGCCCCGCGTCAGACTCCCCACTCAGCCTGCTTCTCCCTCTCCCTCTGCTCTCTCTCATGCTCTCTCTCCCTCAAATAAATAAAATCTTTTAAAAAAATAAAAATAAATAAAAATGCCCTCTAACTCTCCAGAAAGTCCAGGTTTGAAGGAAGAAAACCAGCATTTGTTGCTGGCCACGTGATGCCAATTTGGTGGGGGGGGTTTTGTTTTTGTTTTTATCTGTTAACCCAAACAGATTCCTCATAACCACTGTAGTGGGTTGAACTTGGCCCCCCCAAAAAAAGATAAGTCCATGTCCTCACCCCTGGAACCTATGAATGTGGCCCTATTTGGAAACAAGATCTTTCTAATTAAGTTAAGGATCTTGAGATGAGACCATCCTGGATGGAGGGCAGGCCCTCAAGCCAACGACAGGAGTCCCTGTAGACGACACACAGGGGGAGATCTGAGACGCAGAGACGAAGGCCACAGGAAGACAGAGGCCGAGACGAGAATGACATGTCCACAAGCCGAGGGCGGCCAGCAGCCACCAGAAGCTGGGGAGAGGCGTGAAACTGATGCCCCCTCAGAGTCTCTAGAAGGAACCAACCCCGCTGACACCCTGACTTCAAATCTCCGGCTTCCAGAACGGAGATGGAATCACCTTCCGTTGTGCTAAGCCATCCAGTTTGTGCTCGTCACAGCAGCCCCTAGGAAACGGACACTACCATCACGGGAATGAGCAGGTACCATCATTCCAACTCCCCCGATGAGGCCGGAGAGGCTCAGGAAAGGCTAAGGGACTTGTGACAACTCCCTCGGGGCCCTGCTGCTCTCTCCACACCACCAGGCTGCCTTTCGCGGACGTAAATGGGTCTCGGCTCCTTCATTCGCACACACAAGGGCTGCGAAACCCAAGGTCACGGGATCTGTCCCAGGTTGTGTCTTCTTGGAGGCAGGGCCGTCAGAACCCGGTGCTTCAGCCTCATTTCGCTGATGAATGAGGGCCAAGACCCGTCACCTCCCGGAGCCAGCCCTGTGAGGGGAGCCTGGTTTCCGAGAGTCACAATTACCGAGATGCGGAGCTTCGCGCTAATTTTCCCTCGCAAGTAAATGGCTGAAAAGTAATGGTGTCAATTTTAATGAGGATCAAGCAAGCCTCCTAAAAGGGCTCCCATACACGAGAGCATTTCCCTCACACACAACAATGGCTGGCTGTTTAATTCCAGAACACAAGAATGTCACTTAAATTACACGGCTTTTACGTGAAAGTGCTTATGGGAATGCCTTTCCGAGGAAGCATTTCAATAAAAAGATCTTGCCCATTTTGATGCTTCGTAGTATCTGAACTGCAAACCTATGTATCATAGCAACAAAAATAAACCCTCGAAGAATGTGAATGAGGACAGGACTTCACTTTCACTGGGACAGAGTCTCCGATTTTTCTGAGACGCAGCTGTAGCTGGGAAGCTTATCATCACGTGGCGGTATATTACACTTGGACTGTGGGCCACCAGAAAATCGTTGTTCAAGCCTGAATCCCTTTTGTTGCCTCTTGCTGAGATGTTCAGAACGCCCGCCTGCCAACCCCGTAAGTCTACATGAGACTCTCGAGCTGACTCAATTCTTACTTTATTAGTGCTTCTCAAAGCAATTACTGGGGTTTTGAGCAAAGATGAGAGTATTTCACACCTCCATCTTTCCTGAAAATGTCTTATACTCCACTGACTTTTGGCTTCTATTTATAAAGAAGGTTCAAGGCTTGGAAAATTATTAGGGGTTGAGCTTTAATGGATATTCCCAACCAGCATTGTGTCATTATTGGCCCACGTCTGGCTGGGCAATCTCCCAAATTTGTGACATAATCAGGCCTTTCTCTGCATTACTCCATACGCTCTATGCTCCCTCTACATTACACCACTGAATCATACGCTCTTTTCAACAAGACTGATTGCCAGGGGATTAACATTAGACAGCACAATTCCATTATTCAGCAGCCCAATTCAAATCCAGCCCTAAACTGTAAGAGAGATCGCAGGGCTTCACAGAGACGAGCTGCCAGAAAGCTCAAAGGAGAGGTGGGGTGAGGGGCTTTTGAATGTTTTACATAACAACTCAACCTAAAACCTGCTAGGAGCGAGAGAGCCCAGGGCTGAGGTGGCCAAGCTGACTCCTGATTCCTAGACGGGTCCCCAGCCAATCCCAGTGAGCAATCTGTGGACCTACGCAAAGCCAGAATCCCCCATGGACTGCTACAACACAATTACTTTATTCACGCAACTACTTAGTTTCAAAATTAAGTACTGAAGAACTTTTAGCCCCAGATCTTTCTTTCCTTAAATAGAAACACTCTCATGTCAAATTCAGGAGATGGGAGGCCCAACGTGAACTCCACGTTGCGTGCTTAATCAATAGATTTATGGCGCATCAATCCCAAAATAAATGTTCACCACTCTCTTCTCATATTTGAGTGTTACTTCTTTCTGTTTGATCTATAAAATATCCGTACATGGTAATTCCCACTAAAAAACCTCCCCCAAATATCTCTGTGAGAAAAGAGGGTTCTGAAACTCAGTCTCTTATGAATGTCCACAGGATCTACATTATGTAAAAGCTACCAAATTTCACATTAAGGCTTCTGAATAATAAAGATAAAATGTCACAAATACTTTTTTTCACTGAATTCTAACATACATGTGGAAATAAACACTATCTCATGCTAAGGCAGAGTTTCTTATGGATTTATTTTAATTTGATAGAAAATCAAAATGGTTTTCTGTTTCATTTTCAGTTAACCTAAAAACCAAAATCTATGTAATTTGGTTAATCAAGCTTGTGGAAGGTGTTCTCATGGTTCTTTGGGCAATTCAAATTGCTACGGAGCCTTTCTTCAAAGAGTTTCTAGTTTCTTAAAGGAGAAGAAATGCCCACACATGAAATAATACCAGGGACACATGCATAGGAAATGATGGCGGAAAGCCTTTGTTCATAGACACAGAGGGTGGGCATGAGTCTGTGGAGTTACACAGGGTCACTTTAAGGCAAAATCCATCAGAGAGCCTGGAGTTAAGACCTTTTGCAGGAGCCAGCAATCCACAAGAGAAGGGCAAACTGGTTAGCTGACCCTCAGCCAGGACTCAGGCCAGGTGGTGATCCTGAGAGTCCAGGTAGATGACAAGACAGAGAAAAGATGGATCACACAAAGAAAAGATCTTAGCCCACCATCCCTGCAGCAATGACACACATCCTCGGCATCTCCAATCCTCCAACAAGACAGAGAAACCCTATTTCCTCATCAGTTACAACACAACCCATCACAACAGGCAAGACGGGAAGAAATTTGAGTTCCAGGACAACAGGCTCATGGTCTTAAGATATTTAATTAAAATAGCCTACCTATCTGAGCACTTCAGAGATTTACAAGCCCATACACAGTTCCCTCTTCACAGAAGAAATTGTTTCTAGGAACAAACGCTGAACCTACAATACCGAATGACTTTCTCCTGATGCAAGTGAAGGGCACCTTGACCCTGACCTGCCCCAGCCAGCTATCAGCTCACTCATCGTCATACCTTTTCCTTTACTCTTCAGCCGGCATAATACAATTGCCCTTCTTTAGATCATGTGCCTCTCTTTTAAAAACAAAGTTCTAGGGGCACCTAGGTGGCTCAGTCGGTTAAGCATCCGACTCTTGGTTTCAGCTCAGGTCGTGATGTCAGGGTCCTGGCATCGAGCCCTACACCGGGCTCCACACTCAGCATGGAGTCTGCTCGAGATCCTCTCTCTCCCTCTGCCCTTCCACCTCCTGCACTCGCTCTTGCTCTCTCTCTAAAATAAATAAAACTTTAAAAGTCCTCCTAGAGCGTATCTGTACCCTTTCCCTGAACACACTAACATTCTTCAAAGTAATCTCAGCTTCCAGAATGTCAGCACCTTTCCTACTATGTCCATTTTGCACAAGATGCAAGGGAACCAAGAGGATCACACAAAATATGTAAAACATGGCTCATCAGGAAACAGCACACTGTCAAATGATAGAAGAACCCTTCTCCAACGACAGCGTGTATTTAGAAAGTAGGAGAATGCACCAACTCTCCCTAAACCATGGGGAGAAACGGGACTCGTTTTCATGATGTCATGATGGCAAGAAGCACACTCACCAACAACATCGAGGTGGTATGTGTGATTGATGGAGCCGTACTCGTTCTCTACCACACAGGTGTAATTTCCTTTGTCGGACGGGACCACGCTCTCCATAATAAGGCTCCAATGCTGGTTTCGCACCTGAAAAGGTCAAAGTAAAGGTGCTTATTTAACAATCTTAGCACAGAATACCAGGCACTTTGCTTTCTTGATTTAGAAAGAAGTTGAGGGAGACAAGGAAGGTAGAGAAGAATCACCTGAATTCTACATTTCCCTCATAGTAAGGACTCAGAATGGAGACAAATGAAAACGATCATTACCATCAAGGTGAATGTCTAGCAACGGGAATATGGACGTGTTCAGATCTGCAAGTGTGCGGGGTGGGTCTGTCACTGTCGTGGTGTGAAGGTTCCTCCAGGAGCTACCAAATGGCCGGGGGAACCTGCACATTAGCCTGCGACCCTATCGGTGCCCCAGAGCAGAGGGGCTGAAAGGCTGCTCATGCACTAGGAACCCTCAGGCCCCACGGCACCCATGGACCATTTAGGGCCAACGCCAATGCGCACTTACTATATGCCAGGCACTGCTCTGAGCACTCCATCCCTCCTTAGCTAATGCGATTCTCCCGAGGAGCCCACAAGCTAGATTCTCCATTGCTCCTGGAGCCTTCCAGTTTCTTTCCCCACGGCCCTCAGATGCTGTCTGGAAGTCTCAAGAGGTTTCAACTGGGAACACATGTCTGCCCGCCCCCATCTCTGGCAGAGGCCAAATAGATGCTACATACTCCTGAGAGACATACCCAGAATTCCAAATATGGGAGCAATGAATCCTCAGGAAACCTAAGTTGCATATCCATCTGCTTACAAACTCCTTGAGACTTTTCAAAGATAAGCAGCACATGTGAAAATAAGCTACTGTGATTCCTACCCACAGTTCTGTCAACATGCAAAGAGACTAGACTCTAACATTCCCACCTTGCTTTTAAAATATTTTCATCGACTCAAACTTTCAAGCAAGCATGACTTTTCCTTACTAAGACCAAAACACAGATTTTACTGGGGCGCCTGGATGGCTCAGTCGGTTAAGCGTCTGCCTTTGGCTCAGGTCATGATCCCAGGGTCCTGGGACAGAATCCCACATCGGGCTCCCTGCTTGGCGGGAGCCTGCTCCTCCCTCTCCCTCTGCCCCTCCCCCTGCTTATGCTCTCCATCTCTCTCTCTCTCTCTCTCTCTCTCTCTCTGTGTCAAATAAATAAAATCTTTTTTATAAAATGCAGATTTTATCTTGCAGGTTCAAGGCTTTAACCTTTTTCTCCAAATCCAAATCATGTTGTAAAGGTATTCTGGGCCAGGCACTCTAAAGACATGGAGAAAAAATAAATAAATAAAAAGCCAGGGCCCTACCAGTCTTAACTATGATTTCAGGAATTTCAACTGACCTTCTGAATGATTCCCTGAGCACTGCAAGTGTTTTCTGCCTTAATCACACAAAAAACCGATAATACCCGCAGAGCCTCTGCAAGCACACGAGTGAGTCAAGGAACTACAGAATAAAGAAAATCATCTCATGAATGCTCCATTATAAAAACAGGAGGGCAGAGCAGCTGTCCGCTTTGAAAAGCAGCGCCAACAGAGGTAAGAGGCTATCAGAGTCTGTTCCCACCCAACGTGTGTCACATCAGATGCTGAGTTTTGTTGCAAGCCACTCTCTGAGAGCAGCTACTGATGCGGAGTTCAAAAACGAGCCCACTGCTCATCACGGACAGTCTTATGCAGGATCCCGCGGGTGAGGGCTGGACTCTTCCTCACCAAGTACAAGCCCTGAAGTAAGAGTGAGTTCTGGGCAGACAGTGCCTCTGTCCTAGCTGCTGCCCTCTCACCAACTCCCCTGTATAACCCTGAAGACTCTTTCAATCTACTGTCATGGAGCTGACGAGGGGATATTCATTCTCACTGTCCCAGGCGAAGAGTCTGGCGGTAAAATGAATCTGATGGCATCGGACCCCAGTGGAGAGAGTCTGTCTCCTCCACTGGAGAAGACCTGCCTTCTGCTCTTGGCTGGGCCATAGACTTACAGGAGAACCCAAGCAAGAGGCTAGGTATCCTCTTAGGAGGGATAGGCCTTCCATGCACGGTGTATAGAAGGAACGCTATGAAGGAGAAGAGGCGGTTGCTAAGTTTTCCAGGGCAATGAGAATGCTCTACCGAAATCCTGGCCCCCTGGGTGTTAACCCTGGAGCTGTGTGCTAAAGAGCATGGACGACTCCAGTACTAACTCCTTGACTTAACGTGAGGCAGATGGGCCCACACGGAGACCCTCCCTCTCCCCAAGCTCTCAGGGGGTATCAGAAATGGGACTTTCCTGGACTCTGAAGGACTAATCACACGGAGGGTAACTTGGGGATGAAGCCACAGGCCCTAACGTCACCAAGCCACGTAATCCAGCATTTAGCCCTGCTGTAAATATTCAGTTCTTTGAGCCCCCGCTCAAATGTCATGCCCATAAGCCCTTAATCATGACTAGTGCCTGTCTCTGGACCCCGTCCAAACTGTCAATGTCTTTCTTGGGCCTGGATCCAGATTTGGCACACAGCACATTCCAAATGGAGCTGAACCTGAACTGCACAGGGAGGGCATCGTCTGCCTCTGCCCAAGACATTAAATCTTGGCATATGCAGCTCGGCATACCACTGCCGTTTTTAACCCCTGGGCATATGGTCAGATCCAGTCTCTCGTCGGGGCTATGGCATTCCACGTAAGATCCCTCTTCAAGAGCATGTGCTCCCTGAATATTTACTTCCTGGAGATGCACGACAAATATTAACAAGTTAACATTTATCAAATGCTTTCACAATGAGAAACACATTGACCAGACAAGGTGCTTCTGCCCTTTCCGAGACCTTGGTACTCAATCAATAGTGCCCCATGCAGGGCGGTTAATTTTTATTTTCTTACACCATTGCTCCAGTATTTGATTCCTTGACATACCACCAATCCCAAATTTTATGAGCTGTGGCATTTTCCAAACGGACGCCCTTAGAAGCTGCCGAAAGTGGGAACGTCTGACACTTTCACAGGGGATATCCTACCATTAATTAGTGGTTGCTTAATGACAAGCTGAGAGAGGACAAACAGTAACTCTACCAAGATGGGGAGCAAAGGCACAAAGACTTTTGTGTTTCTTTTCTAAGCACTTCAATTCTATACCCCGATTCAGGGTCAACCTAAAGACACTACCCTTCCAACAAAAATGTCAGATGTCCTCTTCACCGTGTTTTTCTAATATTCCTCATCTTTTTAGAGCTATCATTCTTCTGCCAGTTAGATCAAATGTACATCTCTACTTTCACAGAAAAGGGAATGTAAATACCCAAAAAACATATGAAAAGATGCTTAACCTCATTAACAATCAGGGAAATGCAAATTAAAACAATAACGAGACACTGTTATTCACCAGCTGATTAACAAAAATTAGGAAGAGCCACCTCACGGAGTACTTAGTGAGGCTGGAGGGAAAGAGAGGCTCAAACTGAGAACAGGAATATGGAGAAAAACCTTTCTGTAAAATAATCTGGCAGCGCCTATTAAAATTAGCAGCACAGTTTTTTCTTTTTACCCAGTTAATTCCACTTCTAGAAATCTAGCCTACACAGAAAACAGCAGGATGACTTCAAGGCACACGAACAAGACTGTTGCTTCGAGCACCGTTCGTAACAGCAAAACTGAATCCATCAGGAAGAGAGTCATTAATAATACACAGTTCATCCTATATGAACTAACGTATAGTTAATTCATTCCAACAAAATAGCATATGGTCACTAAAAAGAATGAGGTATTCTTAAGTTTGGACCAGGTAAGATATCATGAACAGTTACTGATAAATAGGGGGGAAAAAAAGTAGGTGGGATAAAACTATGTATACTCAGGATTCCATTGCACAGAAATACACACGCACGCGCATACAACCCTATAAGTGCCTACACTACAGCCCTGAACCTATAAACCTATAAGCACGACTGTACAAACACAGCTAAAATCAGAATGAAAAGGTACTAAATTGTTAGCTGTACATTTTGTACAATTAAGTGGAGCTATGCACGTTGCTGACTTTTTTCTCATTTTCGCTTTTCAAATTTAAACCGAAATCGCAGACATTTGACCCACAAAGTGAAATAAAACCGCTCCCCCCGCCTCCCCCTTCAGTGGTAGCTGCTCTGTTGCAAAACCACCGCGGCTGTAAGTCTCTGGCAGCCTGAGCGACAGCGCTGGGGAGGACAGAAATCCTGCACCGGCAGACACACGCACAATCCTTTCTTCTTATTCCTGCCCGTGGCCAAATCTTTGTGGAATTCATCATTATTTTTCGTCTGCCAAGGAACAGAATTAGAGAGCATGAGGCTTCAAAACTATGTTCGCTGAAGACTTGTAAAAATAACATTTCCATACTGAAACAAAGCAGATTGAAGCTAATGGCCTAAACTCTTTTACTCCTAATACAAAAAAGTGGATTCCACAAACATTCCATGCCCCTGGTCACAAAGACAAAAGATGGCCCAGACAGGTTTTTTCAGAATTCCTCTGCTACCTAGGTCTGCCAAGGTGCATGTTTAAAGCCGCAGCTATCTTCAGGTGACAACTGGGAATGTAGATTTAGTCTGTTAACGATACCGAAACACCTACGGGAAAGGTGAAAGGCCAGAGATCCAGGCTGTCACCTGGATGTTTGGTTTCCACATTGCAAAAAAAAAAAAAAAAAAGTCTGGACATTTCCAAATAGCTAGGTGTTCGATAACAAGCAGAATAAACAACCAGAAGCTGGATGGAAAGTTTTGCTCTATGTCAAGTCAATGAATACTGTGTCCATGTGATGGCAAATACCCCCAACGCTTCCTTCCACCCATAGCAGGGCCCAGTTTATGGGGAAAGGCAGCAATCCCTTTGAACCCTGGCCTTCACAAAGGCAGCCCATGAACTACAACTCACCGTAAGCCAATTGTCATTAGGATGCACAGAGCCTTACTATCCCATGCCAGACCCCCTTTTCCGGCAGGTTCCTTGGGTCTCTGAGCCAGGCCTCTGGAGGTGTGCACAAACTGAGCTTCCACGTGTCAAGGGCTGTGGCCCTCACTGCTGCTTATCACC